GATAATATTATTTGACCATTGACATTTAAAGCGGGATATGACAAAAGAAAAGTTGCTCATGCGTCGTTCTTCACCTCATCAAATAACAACTACTTTTAAAACTATTCATTTACATCTTAATATACAAATATTCAATCTTGACTAACTTGATTTGAGTTGAATAAAATATATAGTTTAATTTAATTAATTAATTCCAAATGACAGTAATTTTCACTCAAAATTAACCTGATAATATGGATAGTGTATGAAAATTCGTTGTACCATGACCATTATAATATTTAGACATAATTTAATTTGTAAATTCGTGAACTGACTCAAATATGTTAGGATTCATTAATATTAAATCAAATTTGATGTAACCATAGCAAGATGAATTAACTTCAACTTTTTAAATTAGTCATATTAAATTAAAAAAGAAAAAGTTCAGCATCATTTTAAATTATTTTCACTTCAATTTTCCAGGAAGTTCGGTATGGGCAGAGCAGAATCATTGAATATATATATAGTTTATGAATGTATCCTAAAGTTGTTACTGAGGCAAGTATAATAATATGCTTTATTTAACGTGGGAATGAGACAAGTTTAATAGTACACTAAATTCTATCAATTGTCATTCTGATGGTAGGTGCTTAAAATTGAATAAATTAATTAAATCTAGATCGTATATTGATAAACATAATTTTAAAATGTCTAGATGCATATATATATATATATAGAGAGAGAGAGAACCTTATAAATGTTGGCTCGTTTCAAAAAGAAATCATAATTCAAAAAAATTAAAAAGGTAACTAAAAATTTCCAAAGTGACAATATATTATAAATTTTATAAAAATATTAAAAATGAAAATTTTCTATCAAAATTTTATATGTAAAGATTTAAAAAAATATTTTAAATTTATTTTTAAAATAATGAGACTCGATTATTTTAATATTAAAATGTTAAAGTATAAATAAATAAAAATTAATATTGAAACATTAAAATATAAATACAAAATTTATAAAGGAGTCTCATATTTTAAAACATTTTATTTCTAAAAATCATTTTTCTAGTGGTTTTTATATATATTTTGCTATATTTTACTCATTTTTTCTAGAGATTTCTACATTTTTTCTTTTATATCTTTATTTATCTTGCTGTTTTCTTGTTTGTTTGAATATTAAAGATTGTTGTAGTGATAGTTTTTCCTAAGATGAATAAGTTTTTGGTTTGCATGCAATCTTTCTCGATTACATGTGTGGGTTGAATATTCTATACGAGTCTTTGTTGATTAGTGATCATAATGATATAATATAACTATTTTTGTAATGTTTTTAAGTGTAGATAGAACATAATGTGGAGTTTAGAGCATTTTGATATTTGAGTTGTCTAAAGCTATTTTAAGTTTAATTGCTTAGTTAATGTCTTTGTACTTTTATTATGGTTGAAGATGCTATGAACTTTGCTTAAAGAGATATAGATATGTGTTACTCGTATGTATTATGACATGTTGAAAGAATGAGCTTTTTCAATTTGTCTATGATTTGGAACGCTTATGTGAAATTCTTTAACAAGTAATTTGGTCTGTCTTGAGTTAAGATCATGAAATTTGTATTTGTAAGTTTATTCAATGGGAATTAACTTAAGAAGGGTTTACTCAACCAAAGCACAAAAGAAGAAGTTTTGTTCACTTATATACTGTCAAGTGCCACTGATAGCACTAGGTGCTACTTAAGTAGTGACTTCTCTTGTTTGGTTATTGTTGGGTAAGAGTTCTTCTCGTTGGATGACACCATAGTTATAAAGCTTACTGACTTGGTACCATTAAGCGTCTTTTAAGGTCGCTGGACACCAAAATATCAAATTAAATCATAAAAGATTTAGGGATGCTCTCTTTGAGCATTGAAGCCGACTCTAGACACTGTATTTTTGGCGTTGGGTGAGATTCTTTTTGCATATATGCTTAATTATTGGTATAGTTTCTACTTTGGTCGACAACTTTTAAAGTTGGTCCTAACTTTTGAAAAAATTTTAATTCCATCTTAACTTTTGAAAAAGTTATTTCAATTAAGTCTTTGTTAAAAAAATTACTAATACCATTAACAACATGTCACGTGTCGATCTGCATTATTTTTTTTTTTGCAAAACTTTTTGTTGTCACGTGTCAGGTTCATGGTGTGACACTAACATTGCCAATGCCAAGTGTCATTATCTTGATTTCAATTTAATCCTTATATATGTCTTTTTTATTTAATTTATGTTATTTAAATCACCGTCAATATCACATGGTATTAAAGATGCATATGATGTTGTTTTTTAAAATACTTTTTAGACATTAGGTAAGGGTGATTGTATTAATCTTTTGAATGATTGTATTAATCTTTTGAATGATTGTTGATATTTTGACATTTACATATCTAATTTTTTTTTTAGAATTCCTTATTTTGACAAAGTAAGTTTATATTTTTTGTTAGTTTGACCTGAATAGGTGTTTACTGATTTTTTTTTTCTTTTTTTGTCAATTTATGTGAATTTTCTTTTTTAATGGTTAATGAGGATGATGATGTGCCTAATTAGATTCTCGATGATACTGGTGTGCTTTCTTAAAAATATGTAAAAAAGTTTTACTCTTGTGGAATGAAATGTGTGGATTGGAAAAACTTGATTTGGTTGAATGAGATGATACTAACTAAAACTTTGGTTATTTTGAAGTTGTTGTATGATTATTTACCTATTGATTTGGACGTTAAAAATGAATTATTTTATGTTATATGTGTTCTTTATGTGATAATAATGTTGAATCTTTCTCTCATTTGTTTTTCCATTGTTCTATTGCTATATGGTTGTAAGCATGGTTGAAGAAAACTTTTTAGGATTTGCAGTTTTTTTTTTTGGATTTGATTGTTTAATTTACGAAGTCTTCTTGCAGTCATCTGCTTAAAGTGATTAAAATGTATGCAATTATTTGAATGATTTGAAGAATGAGACATCATAGCAAATTTTCTCAATTACGTTTCCTTCTACTCTTTTTCAAAATAAGGAGTTAATATGTATGACTAAAAATAAATCTAAAAAGCATACGAGTAATGTTGTCTCGATCTTTAAATACTGAAAATTTCCAATATTCAAACTAGTGAAAGTAAGATAATTTCATTTATGAAAGTAATATGACAAGTTCCATCTCTCAATTAGCTTAAGATAAATATTAACTGTGCAATTCGAAGTTGGTATGGTTTAACTTCATGTGTTGATATTTTAAAAAAAGTCAAAATGAATATGTATATCTAGATAGGTTTTGAACTTTTTAAGAATAGAAACTTCTATTTATTTATCTCTAGTTGATGAATGATTTATGTATTTAAGTATGTTTAAAAAAGACTAACATTCTTAAACTGCATTAATTAATTAAAGGTAATATAATAAATATTAAAAGGAATGTAATAATTGATTATTTTTATAAGATTGAAACATGATAAAAATTAAAGATATTATATATATATATATATATATAAATATATATATATATATATATATATATATATATATATATATATATATATATATATATATATATATATATATATATATATATAAACAGAAGAGATGTTAATTACAGAAAAACCAAATAAGTTACCACCAGGAGTTCTTATTTCATTTTTAACAGGATTATTATGTCAGATCGTTTTTAATCAACCATTCCAAATTTTTACAGGTTTTATTTCCACAAATTATTGTTTTCACACTAATAAGCTCCAGTTTAGTTTATTGTAAGATACAATTATTTTATTTTAAATTGAAAAAATAGCATTAAAAGAAATAAATTATGTAAATAATTATATATTAAATTTTAAATTAACTATAGTAAAATTTAAACAATAAAATAAACATATATAAAAATACAAACATATACACACATTATGTCCACTAATCTTATTAAATTAAATGAAAAATATAAGTGCTATTTTATTATTATTAAGTAAAAGAAGAGACATTGTATGGCATGAGACTCTATTTCTATATAGTTGTTGTTTAACTTTTTATCAGTAGAATTTAAATAAAGGATCTATTATATTTCTCCAAATTTCTCTCTTTGCTTAAAGTTTATAGAAGTTCCAATGCATAACAAAACGGGAAATAAGAGTATAATTAACTAAAGTTATATTATATCTTTTTATGTACAAATTTTTAAAAGAAATGACTGTCATTGGAATAAATGTAAAATTTTCATATTTAATTATAGACTTAATATCCTATTTTGTTCCCAGTTTCGTTCGAAAATGTCAAATTAGTCCATCTTTTAAAAAATGCGTCAATTACGTCCTCACTTAATAAAATTTGCATTAATAAAATCTCTTATGTTAAATCCGTACAAACGGTGTTAATTATTTTTCTCTTTGTTTAATTAACGCCATTTGTACGGATTTAACGGAAAAGATTTCATTGATGAAAATTTTATTAAGTGAAAACGTAATTGACACATTTTTTAAAAAGATAGACTAATTTAACATTTTCGAACCAAACTAGGGACAAAATAAAGTATTAAGCCTTAATTATATTTATGACAGAGACATAAAAAAACTTTATTTAAACCCAAAAAAACGAAAAATTTGGATTGAAATAAAAGTTTAATATGTTAACAACTACTCCATCAGAGATGTGTTCAATGTATAGGTGCAAAGAGGGGAAGGAGGGCAAAACAGTAAATGGCACACATCACGAGGGCAATCAAAGCACGACCTTCGATTGGATATATTAATATAAGGAAGGACTCCTGGGACCAATGAACACATTTAACATAAAAATAAAATAAAAAACAATTAAATGATTTACAAAAATATATATTCATTTAATCTCTCAAAATTTTCTTTACAAATTTTATTCAGAAACTAATTTTAGTTTATAAAAGATATTTTATAACTTGAAAGATATTTGTAAAAAAATGATCTATTGATATTTAAAATAATAAAAGCTCATGAGTAGGTGGGGCTGGGAAACCATTACTTATACGACCGTTCTACCACTATACAGGGTACCGCAATAGCAGAAACTCATTGCTCAACTCTTATCTCTTCACATTATTCACTTCTCACCTACCTAACCTTCTTCTCTAGTTCTCTTCTCCAGATCAGAAACGCAGCCATGGCGTTCCAGAAGATCAGCGTCGCCAATCCCATCGTCGAGATGGACGGTCCGTTTCTTCAACTTCTTCTTCCGATCTGATCTTTTCTCTTTCTTTCTTTCATTTCATCCATTTTTTCTCTCTGTGATTATTGCTTAAATATCTTTTCGCGTGGTGTGTCTTGTCGTGTCGATGTGCTCCCTCAATTAGATATTTTGCTTGCGATAGGTGCTGTGGTCCACTACACTTCGTTTTCTCATTATTGGAAACATTACAACGTGATAGATATTTGTGTCTCTGTTGTGGTTCGAGGCTTGAAATTAGATTTAGATATTCAATATTGCTGTACAATATCGTTTTATTGAATCGTCGTGTTTTCGTTATCGTTACAGCGGAGATTTGATCCGTTCTCTTGTAAAATTGTTTTTTTGGTGGAGATCTGTTTTGTTTTTAGTGTTACAACTACTGGTTTTTACTTATTTTTAAGTTGAATAAATAAAGTTATAGTGTGGAAAATAAAAAAAATAGGTTTCATGGGTTGTTCTTCCAAGGAAGAACTTTATCAATGGACTCGCTGAAGTATTCAAAACTTGATTGGTTTTTTTGCGAAACTATATGGGATTAGATCCTTAGCTAGTTTGTCTTGTGTGTATGAGCTGGATTTATGAAGTTTTCTGGTCTGTGTCGTAATTGAAAACGGTAATCACTGACAGTAGCCTGCGTTGGCATTAATTACGTTTGCATTAATTACGTTTGCATTATTGCTTGGAAGTCCATATCCACCTCCATTGGTCGTTATTTTTGAAGGGAATTTGTTTATGATTCTCTCATTTTTAAGCAGGGGAAATATGTGGACTTTTTAAAAATGAAGTTGTTGAATTGTTAGAACAGTGAATGAAGTCGGAAGTAAGATGCTAATTTTCAACAGACATACGTATAAGTGTAATTAGTAACTAATATAAGGGGATGTTGCTGGAACTATTTCATGTAAAATACCCAAATTATGGAATACCAAAATATTGGCATTTTCAGTTTTACTCTTCGCCCTTAGTAGAAAGCTTGGGGTCTGATTGCTTTGAGAAAACTGTTCTGTTTTGATTCCTGTTTTCGAAAGTAAAACAGTAAAATAAATGTCTTTACTGTTTCTTTTCAAAACATTTGAAAACGGACAGTAAAATGAAAAAAGGTGCCATTTTTGTTATTAAAAATGAAAAACAACTAACACAGAAAATATTTGGTAAAGTGACCTAGAATTCTCGATTTGTGTAGTACTAGTTTCCATGGTAATTGTGTTTATCTGTCTAGTCAATTTTTATCTGCTCCTTTGCCTTTGTCTTACATTTCTTTTTGTTGATAATGCATTGCAGGAGATGAAATGACTAGGGTTATCTGGAAATCAATCAAGGACAAGGTGATTTATCATCATATTGCTATTAATTCAAGCGTCACTCTTTTTTTTTTCTTTCGAATAGTGATCGTAATATTGACATTTTTCTATCATTTCTTATGGGATAGCTCATTTTGCCTTTCTTGGAGTTGGACATAAAGTATTATGACCTTGGTCTTCCATACCGTGATGAGACCGATGATAAAGTTACAATTGAAAGCGCAGAAGCTACTCTCAAGTATGTTATCTGTATATCTTGAACATCACCCCGCCGAAAGGGAAATGATAATTCTCCTTTTTATGTTTCTTCAATTATTATGTTTATATGTGTGTGTTATATGGTTCAGACAGCGTATTATAAGTGAACCAGACAAAATTTGTGTAGTTTGATTATGTAGACCAACAATATTTTAATTTTAATATTTTTTTCGTTTCATCTAATGTTAAATTTAGACTGGTTAAGTGCTTTTTATTCTTGTGTTCTTGCATATTTGTTACTTATCCATGTTCATCTAACGGTTGCACTGTTATGTAGATACAACGTAGCAATCAAATGTGCAACTATCACTCCAGGTTCGGTAGTTAAATCCTGACATATTCTTTTAATTTCTACCTTCGTTTGGTGTATGCCGGATAATAGTATTCCCCTTGATAGTAGATGTTGAAGCTTATACTAGTGTTATACATGACAGATGAGGCTCGTGTGAAGGAGTTTGGCCTGAAGAATATGTGGAAGAGTCCAAATGGGACAATTAGGAACATTTTGAATGGTAATTCATCTTACTTCCATTGATTATATTTTTGTAAAAATGTTAAATACTAGTGAATTCATGTATTATGGGGGCTCATTGGTAACTAATAAGTGGTAGATGGTAACTGTGTATATTTTTTCTATTGGTTGTTCGGAAATTTTCAGGAACTGTCTTCAGAGAACCAATTCTTTGCAAAAACATTCCGCGCCTTGTTCCTGGTACTATTATTAAAAAAATTATATTTAATTACTTCCTGATAAATGGAGGACTGTGTATATCTCAACATTACCACTTTACCAGGTTGGACAAAGCCAATATGCATCGGAAGACATGCATTTGGTGACCAATATCGGGCTACTGACACAGTAATTAAAGGAGCTGGAAAGCTGAAGCTGGTGTTTGGTATGCCTCTTGATTTAGACAACTATGCTTAGTTCTGAAGTTATATTGTACTCATTCACATTGTCCCATCTCAGGGACATAGTTTTCATTGTTACGTATTTTGATTACTAAATATTATTTTTATGAATTCTTCTATACTTGTAGTTCCAGAAGGCCAAGGTGAGAAGACTGAATTAGAGGTTTTTGACTTTACTGGTGAGGGAGGCGTTTCATTGGCTATGTACAATACTGATGAGGTTGGCTCTGCAGTGTCTGATATCACTTTGATTGGATATATTTTAATGATTTGGGGTAGAGTTCGAACTTCTATCTAATTTTATTATTTGGCATGTGATGCAGTCAATTCGTTCTTTTGCCGAGGCTTCTATGGCAACTGCTTTAGAGAAAAAGTGGCCTCTTTATCTTAGCACCAAAAATACGATTCTTAAGAAATATGATGGAAGGTATACAATTCATTACGAACTTCTTATTTAATGATATTTAAAAACTTTTACTATACTGATCCCTGTTTGATTTTATTAATTTATTGTCTGCAGATTCAAGGACATATTTCAGGAAGTTTACGAGGCAAGCTGGAAATCAAAGTTTGAGGCTGCTGGTATATGGTGAGTGAATGAGTACTCTTGTATCGTGGAAAGAAAATGTTCATATTATACTATTATTTACTTTTATCTAATGAATTTCAAAGGTATGAACATCGGCTCATTGATGATATGGTGGCTTATGCACTTAAGAGTGAAGGAGGTTACGTATGGGCATGCAAAAACTATGATGGTGATGTGCAGAGTGATTTCTTAGCTCAAGGTTTGTATGATATGCTTATTAACTAGTTACTTTCTTTTTTCAACTTCATTTGCATGGATTTCTTTTCTTTAACTAATACCTATTCACCCTGTATTTAGGTTTTGGATCATTGGGTTTGATGACATCTGTACTGGTAGGTTTGAAAACAATTTGTTTTGAATTATTTAATTAATTGAACCAGATCTTTTATTTATTTATTAAATAAAGTTTAATAAATTTCTTTGCAATATGAGAGTTCCTGGTGTATGACTTTTGATACTTATTGCATGATGACATGGGTTCAGGTTTGCCCTGACGGAAAGACTATTGAAGCAGAAGCGGCCCATGGAACAGTTACCCGTCATTTTAGGGTTCATCAGAAAGGAGGCGAAACCAGCACAAATAGCATAGCATCCATCTTTGCCTGGACGAGAGGGCTAGCTCACAGGTATATTACTATCTAACTTGCATATTGGAGTGCAAAGCTTTGTTCGTTGTATTTTAAAGTAAGAAACTATTAGATTATAATATTACGTGAACAATTATGTTGACAGGGCAAAACTGGATAACAATGCTAAACTGTTGGATTTCACTGAAAAGCTAGAGGCAGCTTGCATTGGAGTTGTTGAGGCAGGGAAGATGACCAAGGACTTGGCACTTATTATTCATGGATCCAAGTACGTTAATTGTGATTGACATTGGCCAAGTAAATTTGCTTTTCTACTTCATATGATTAATAGACTCACTGTTCAATTCTTGCAAATAGGCTTTCAAGAGAGCACTATTTGAACACAGAGGAGTTCATCGATGCCGTGGCAGCCGATCTTAGAAATAAGCTTTCTGCATAGGCTTGATTTAAAGGTACAGTGTCTCTTGGATCCTTATTATAATTTTTTTAGAAGATATGTTGTAATTACAAATATGGGCTCATATATTCCATCACTAAAGGTTATTTTGGTTTTTCTTTGATTTTGTTTTTGGATTATCAGACGGACGGAAAGAGACTAGGCCAACAAGGAGCAAACATGTGCCACTCTGCGTCTGCTATGAAGAAATAAGAGAAAGAAGAGAAGCACTGACACTTAGCCCCGCCCTTGTGCTTCATTTGTTGGTCGGGAATACAAGGGTTGCTTTTCTTCTCTGTATTGTTTGAACTGAAATTGTCCTTTGTGATTTTGAACTCATCTCTTCCACTTTTCTAGTTATTATGGATTTTGCTGCGATTCTGATTATTTAATCTTGCATTTTGTCGTCTTCTGCATATATCGCGCACTCTGAAAGCTAAACAACAACATTTTTAAATCTATAGTGGCTCACCACGGCAAATAAATACCATGACCAGCAAACCCACCTTAATAAATACTACAGCATGGCCATGAAAGTATCGAACTTCTTGAAAAACCTACTTAATCTTTTTTCTTATTTTGATGTTAATTTTGAAATTAAAAGACAAACATAATAAACTTGACAAATTAGTTATTTATCTGCGGTTATATTTTTTTAATTTCAACTACCCGGCATGTGTTATCCCATTCATATAACGCGCATGCTTTTGAATGCTTTTATAGAGTTGATTTTCGATCAATGTGATTTTAAAGTAGTAACCAGAAGTAAATATGAAAGTAATTATAGTTTGGACAGTGAATGTTAGAAAATGGCATTTCATAAAAAGTATTTATAATTTACTTTGAATGATCACTCTACTTGTTATGATGATTAGTCTCTGATATTTTTAGAGTTAATATATATATATATATATATATATATGGGGTTTGGTAACCCGCGTAGTAGATAAAAATACTCTTATATATCATGGATTCTAAGTTTTAATGTTAAAGATATTTTAATAATTTTCATTATTAAAATTTTAAAAAAAAAAACTCCGAAACTTTTACTCACTTCTCTCATTCCTCTCAACCCTTTTTCTTTTATCTCTCACTTCACTCTTTTTTCTGTCATCCCTACTGTAGTTTCAAAGATCTCTTGGAATTTCACCATCTTCACTAATCTCTCTAATTTCATCGTCTGTATATGTTGAATTATCATCTCTAAAAAATCCCTCCAGACCAATTACCAATTCCTTTGGATATCATTATGGTTGTGAAAATTAGATAAAATTATATAAGACAAAAGTTATAAAATGAAAACTCATTTTAAAATCTTTTTATGTAAGATTGTTTCTGATTTTTTTCAGTTGGGCTATCATAGGATAACAGAGAAAATGTTGGAGTGAGAGAGATAAAAGAGAAAGGGTTGAGATGAATGGGGGAGGTGAGCAAGGGTTTGGAGGTTTCCTTTTTTTTTAGTTTTGAGAATGAAAATTGTTAAAATACCCTTAACTTTAAAACTTAGAATTCATAATATATAAGGATATTTTTGTCTACTAAAACCCGATACACATTACTAAAATATACCAACTGAAAACAGGCGTACGCACGTTAACAAACTCATATATATATATATATATATATATATACACA